TGAAAATGTCGAGACAGTGTGTGACTGCAATAAAGAAGGCCAATGCTATGCTGGGGATTATTAGGAAGGGTATTGAAAACAGATCAGCCAATATCATAATGCCCCTATATAAATCAATGGTGTGACCTCATTTGGAATACTGTGTGCAGTTCTGGTAACCACACCTTAAAAAGGATATTGTAGCTTTGGAAAAAGTGCAGAAAAGGGCAACTCGAATTATAAAAGGGTGGGAACACTTTCCCTATGAGGAAAGGTTAAAGCGCTTAGGGCTCTTTAGCTTGGAGAAACGACGACTGAGGGGAGACATGATTGAGGTTTATAAGATTATACATGGGATAGAGCAGGTAGAGAAAGAGGTACTTTTCTCCCTTTCTCACAATACAAGAACTCGTGGGCACTCCATGAAATTGCTGAGCGGTCGGGTTAGAACGGATAAAAGGAAGTACTTCTTCACCCAAAGAGTGATTAACACATGGAATTCACTGCCACAGGAGGTGGTGGCAGCTACAAGCATGGGCGGCTTCAAAAGGGATAGTTAAGCATATGGAGCAGAGGTCCATCAGTGGCTATTAGCCACAAGGTATAGATCGGGGCTCTGGGGCAAGTGATGCTCTGTCTTCTTGGTGCTTGGGGGGGTCAACAGTGGGAGGGCTTCTAATGTCCTGGCCCCCCTGGTGGACCTCCTGATGGCACTGTTATTTCTGGCCACTGTGTGACACAGAGTGTTGGACTGGATGGGCCTTTGGCCTGATCCAACATTGGCGTCTCTTATGTTCTTAGCATGACAGACTTTGAAAGTGGGAAAGGACAGATGATGATAATGTGTTATTTCAAGTTCCCACTAAAGACAGCTTCAGTTGATTTTGAAATTATAGGGTTGCTAGTCTCCAGCTGGTAGCTGGAGATTTCCTGGAACTACAACTGGTCTCCAGGTTACAGAGATTAGTTCCCCTCAAGAAAATGGCTCCACCTGGAAGCCCACAGACACATACAGCTCCTCTCTTGTTCCAGTCCCATGAAAGTTTCCCTCAGAAATCTACCACCTTGTGATTCCATCACAGATTTCTCTGCTTAGTTGTGGATGCTTCTGCTCCCCTTGATGCACTCAAACTTCTTGATCTACATGCTCCCACCCAACTATGCCAAGTCCTACTTTTCTCCTGAGGTACCACCTTTCTCTGATTTTGACCTTGCTACCATTTCCTCTCCTGGTTGTCTCTGCTGATGCTCCCTTCTCTCTTTTCAGTTGAGAGGCTGTTGAGTCAGGCTCCTCCCTACAGGCTTAACCCAGCACAACACTGCTGTTGGCTCCTGTCTGAACAAAGCTACTGCAGCTCAGAACCTCTGAAATGACAGTGGTGGTGGTTTCAGGGTAGCAACTGGGGCAGTGCCTGCATTTATTGCATAACGGTTAAAGGAATTATCTTTGAACCAAAGTTTTTCTCCTTCATATTAGTTTTGGTAGCTGTCTTTAAGTAAGCCATTATCTCATACTCCCCCACATCCTCATAGAGGTAATGGGTTGGATCCCGGGCACTGGTTCTGCGGTGTAAAGACTTACGCCCACACAGTGAGACCTTCCCAGCTCTTCTCTCCCACAGCAGCCCAAATGCCGGCTCCTAGAGGTCCCCTCCTGCCAGGAGCAGGATTTTAAGGGGGGGGGGGGTGAGACAGGCATGCTCTGTTAATGTAAGTCCTTGCACCTGCAGAAATAGTGTGCTGTATTCAACCCAGTCATTCTGGCCTATCTTTCAAAGTTACCACAAGACTTACTTGAAATATGCCTTGAACATTCTAAAGGTACTACTATTATTTCTTTAAAGAATTGCTCTTTTTCTTAAGATAATGCTTATCACAACAAGATTTGCAGGAGTATTTTCTATACCACCATGGAATTTTCAGGCTGTATAGTTTAAATGCAAAGAAAGTGCATACTGTGGCCATACTGTGGCCAGCAAGCTTTTCTAGCCAGTGTAAAACTTGATGACTGGTTTTATTACTGTAGTGATTGGGGAAATTAGTCTTGGGTATTACTCTGTACAATGGGGTAATCAAATCTATAACCTATAAAAACCAGAGAAATATGAATAATCAAAAAAGAGGAAAATCTATATAGTCCCATCTCTACTGTCCCCTCTCTTGGTACAGTAGCCACAGGATATTGGCCTCTAGAATTTCTCATTCAGGATTTGGCAATGTCTGCCTCAGCTGAATTCTGAGGAAAGAACACTACCCTTTTGTAAATGACAGTAGACAGGGCTCGTGACTCTTCCTGGTTTCCTGTTGTTCACATATATTGTCCCATGGAAATGCCCAAATAGGAGATGGACATATGGGTAGGGCTGCCAAACTGCGGCGGGGGATCCGCACGTCTTCACAGGATCCCTGCTGCGGGGGACAGCGATACGCATTGCACTGCCGTTGCCAGGATGTGACGCTACGCGTCGCTCTGGCAACGGGACGCCAAACAGCCCCGTTGCCAGAGCGGTGCGTAGCGTTACATCCTGGCGACGACGGTGCAACGCTTATCGCTGTCCCCCGCGGCAGGGATCCTGTGAAGACGTGCGGATCCCCCACCGTGGCTTGGCAGCTGGTATGCTGGGGAAGGAAGGGTGCAGAACATGCCACTGATAGCAATTAAGAGAGAAGACTTTACCCTGGAATCAGCTGGGAATGTGCCTGTTTTCCCGAGTACCTTAACTGGATCCTGTGCCAAGAAAGAGAGCTAGTCTTACCCTGACTACAGGATAATTTCTCATGCTTTTTAATACCCATTTATTGTGCTGAACTCTTATTTTGCTTGAAGGAATGCTTGTTGAGGCTGTTCTCCAGCTGCTGTTCTGTGCAGTCTGTGGAGATGTACGAAAAGCCAAGGCTGGGAGAAAAGCCAGAAGCACCTGAGTCCAAGTTCTTCAACACTAAGACATTGCTGGTAAATTGAGAACACTGAGCTTGGTAGGAGGATTGCATGTTGAAAGAGAGTGGTGAGAAAATGATGTGGGTAAAAGGGTGTTGGGGAAGGGGAGCACCCCAGGGCTGTTGTTTTTCATACTTCGCTAAGCTTTTAATTGGCAATGCTGGGGATTGAATCTGGGACCTCCTGCATGCTGTGCCACTGGTACACATCACCTACCCTTCTCATTCTTTGGGATATATGCAAATGGGCCTGTTTTATTTCCAACCTGTACTGTTACCCAAAGAGGTGGTCTTCTAATTTTAATTGGGGAAAATTAGCTTAAAGAGACAGAGGGAGTAACTGAGAATCTCCACTAATGTTTATGGATATTTTTCCCTTAAGAGAACTCTCAAAATAAACCAGGCAGATGTTCCACTGGTAAGGTTTTTATTAAAAATAAATAGGAATGAGCAAAACACACACACAAGCACACTGAAAACACACACAAGGCTAACTAAGAAGAAATCAGGGAAGAGATGGAGAAAGCAATTTCGGGGAAGGCTATAGGAGGAGGAGGAGATTGGATTTATACCCCCACCCTTCAGTAGCTGAAGGAGTCTTAGAGCGGCTTACAGTTCCTTTCCCTTCCCCTCCCCACAACTAGGCTTACCAAACGCCGGCGGGGGAAAACTATTTCCTGGCAGGATGCGTGCCGCGGGGGACGGCTGTGCGCGCTGCACCCGCCGTCGCCAGGATGTGACGCTCCGCGTTACTCTGGCAACGGGGCTGTTTGGGTCCCGTTGCCAGGGTAACGCGGAGCGTCACATCCTGGCGACGGCGGGTGCAGCGCGCACAGCCGTCCCCCGCGGCACGCATCCTGCCAGGAAATAGTTTTCCCCCGCCGGCGTTTGGTAAGCCTACCCACAACAGACACCCTGTGAGATAGGTGGGACTGAGAGAGCTCTCTGGAGAACTGCCCTTGAGAGCACAGCTCTGAAAGAACTTATGACTGAACCAAGGTCACACCAGCAGCTGCATGTGGAGGAGTGGGGAATAAAACCCAGTTCTCCCAGATTAGAGACCGCACTCTTAACCACTATACCAGCCTTGAAGAAGGAGGTCCATGGAGGCAGCAACGAGATGACCAGCATTTCACGGAGAAGCGAAGCCCATGTTCAGCTCAGGGTGTATGTACAGGTCCTAGAACACATACATACACACACTGGTGGCTAGGTACTCCAGATATAGGGCAAAATGCTGCCTGGGGCAGGCTGATGTATTTGCCCCAAAACAATAACTTGATGGGTTTTTAGGAGGTAGACAATGATTTGGGAGAAGCTTGATGGGATTTCCTATACTTGTAAGATGGTGCTTGATGGCCCTGTAAGTACTGGAGGGGAAAAGCTACCATGTTTGGTGAATAGTGTTAAGTTTTGCTTAATTAGGGTAAATAGGTGAGTGGAAGTGAGGCTGGAGGCTGGTGGGATTAGTCCAATGTGAGGCAATAAGTTCTTGGGAGACCCATTGTTCCTAAATTATGTGTCTCCCTAGGGTGTGGAGAGGGCCATTAGCCACTCTTTCTCAGAGTTATAAGGTATGGCCAGGCTTGTCTCTGGCTGGAATCCATTTTCTGTCAGTTTTGGGCCAGGCAGTGTATTGCACTTCTGGTACTTGGGATAATATTTTAGGAAGGGTGTTTATGATTTTCTGCCAATAAACTGCCTCTCGGCAAGAGGAGGGGTCTGACTGCTAACAGGACAAATGTATTTTCTGTTTTCTAGGGATTCAAGGTAGCCTATGTGGTGTTCAAGAATCCAGCTGGTATACAAGCTGCCCAGTCCTTATCAACAAAGGGGCCCCTAGTGATATCTTCTGTCAATCATCCTGTGCAAACTGGAATTCACAGTAAGTTGCCCACAGATGCCTAGAACTTTTGGGCTTTCTTATTCAGGCCTTCAGATGCACAGATTCAATTCTTAACTGCATCTGTTCCTATTATTGGAAGTGGGGAGCTGCATCAAATGTTGGAGGAGACAGGGTTTTATTTCCTTGTTCAGCCGTGAGGCTCACTGACAATGCTCCCTCTAAGCTGTGGAGTCTTGTGAGCAAAAATTCTACTTTGTGAGCTACTGGCATTAAAGTTCTGAGCGAGCGATTTGGCTACTGTATAAATTAGTTTGCTCTGGAGCCATCCCTTCCTGAGCTAAGACAAAAATGTCTGAGCTGGAGGCTAAAAAACTGCGCTAGCTCACACTAACTCAGCTTAGAGGGAACACTGCTCACTGGTGACTTTCTCTCAGCCTAGCCTACCTCACACAATAAAATGGGACATGAAACCACATCTGCTGTTCTAAGTTCCTTGGTTGCAGGAAGGTTGACCTTGGAATGTAACTGATTCCATCCAAATTGGGTGCTTATTTTTCAATGTTGACACATTAATTTCCTCTTCCTTTCCCCCTAGACATTCAGCTTGCAGAGGAGCTCTCCCCTACCTCTGTGGTAGTTGGACTGTGGAAAAGATGGGGGAGGGGTCATTGGGTTGTCATCCCCCAGTATCTTTGGGCATTAAGTTTCAAACCCCTTACTCCAACATCATTTCACTGTCAGACTGCACTGCTGAGTGGAAAGCAAGGCAGCACCAAGATGCCCTGTCTGGGCTAAGTGACAGACAGAAGGCTGCCCCGCCCCTGAAGGGGAAAACAGCCACTCACTTGAGCCTATGGGAGTGCTGCTCCAGCATCCAATCACCTTTGAGAAGAGGGATGGAATGTTGGAGGGAAACACAGCAGGAGTTCAGTTCAGTTCTGCCTCAGGGAGAGAGCAGTGAGAGCTCAGGTCTGGCTCAGGAAAAGAGTAGACAGTGTGAAAGGTCGCTCTGTTTGGTAGTGTGGCACAGTGGTTTAGCTCTGCTGAGAGAGAACAGAATACCCAGTTGCTAGGCCTGTCTGGCAATGAGCAGACCTGGTGCCATTAAGTCTGACTCTTGGGAAAGGGCTGGCTGGTGTCGCTACTAGGATCCAACCTAGTGGTTAATCGGTAAAAGCCTGTTTATGCTGGAAAGTATTAAAAGAAAGTTGAAACTACTCTCTAAATTAATGTGCCTCAGCCAGGTTTCTCTTTTGTCTTTCTGGAGAACTCTGCTGCAGATCTGTTCCTTAAAACCTACTTGTAAATAAATCTTCTTTGTTGTTAATATTAAACTCTTGCCTCGGTGATTCTACTTGTACACCACAAAACTTACCTCACAGCAGTGAACCCAAAGCCTGGGCACTCGCTACCTTTAGAACACCTAGTATCTGAGGGAAAAGTTTATAGTTTAAAATAAATCCAGTGTCTTCAAAATCATAGGAGGCTGTGTAGGTCCCTTCAGTTGATAGAAATGGCCTGTCACATGAGGATCTCCTCCCTGTTGCACACTTGCTTTTGCAGGGTGAGTTGGCTATCTCAGCACGTTAGGAAATGGACCTGGCTGTAGTGATAGGACTGAACTCAGTCAGGCAGGGTGGTTTGTGTTCTGTCACTTTGAATTTCTTACTTACAGCTTCATATGGAAAGCAATAGCTACCTGCATACCATTGCCTGATGCTGGTGGGACAGAAGAACCTACCTGTTCAAATTTGCACAGACCCAGCAAAGTCTAAAGTGGGCCCCTATGCATATAATTCTGCGATGCATGCAGCATTAGCCTGCTAGTGCAACACCCATCCAGGCTATAGGATATGCTAAACTGCCCAAGTATTGGCTGGGTGCTCAGCTGAAACAAGATGCTGGCTCCTGTAACATTAGTGGTTCTTGTCCACCAGCAGGGAGAGGCAGGCATTCACAGCACGCAAGTTGCAATTTAATTCCTACCAGTAGCAGTCACTGGAGCTCTTCAGTTCACCCCTTCCGCTTGGGTCCGTCGTTTAGGATGTATGAAGGGCTTCTGGATTTCCACTGTCTTTTCTTAACTTTTTGAGGATGTTTGTGGTAGTTGTTGATTTTTCTTCATTTCAGAATGGATTTCTGGGTACGCTGCATCACTCATAGATCCTGCTGAGTTGAAGAAAGAGGTGGATGCTTTCATGCAAGCCTATGACCAGAAGGTCGCTGAGGTAGGGATTGCTGGAGTTACAGTTGTGTTAACTGTGCCACAGGCTTCCCTTAAGCTATGGATGTTCTCCAGTATATTATCTACTGTAGAGTGTTTGTCTTTCCTACCTAGAGGGTAAACATGGGTGAATCTAGACCTAAGAGATCTGGAAGATCACACGAACTATATTACCTGGTAGGTAGCAAAATTCTGCCTTCCTCATCAAGCCCTTTTCTGGCCATCTTGCATGGCAAAGGGGCTGGTGCTAGGGTTCCTTCACCCAAGAGCTGTGAAATTCAGGTAGAATGGTGTCTGGATCGTGAACAGTGTTTCTGGGTTTAGGAGGAAGTGTGAAATCCAAACAATCCTTTCCCCAAAACTGGAGAAGCACTGCTTCCCCACCCCGTCTTCTAATTTCTTCACTTGCTTTTTTCACTGACACAGGAAGATGCAAATGCTGAGGATGAAGATGGTGTCCCAGATGAGGAAGGGTGGGTGAAGGTGACCAGGAGAGGTCGAAGGCCTGGAATCCCAAGGACAGAAGCAGCCAACCTGCGGGCATTGGAGAGAGAGAAGCGCAAGAGAGCACGCAAGGAGCTTCTCAACTTCTATGCTTGGCAACATCGTGAGACTAAGAGGGAACGTGAGTAACTTTTTATCCATCTCAGTTCAATGGGATTTGTTGTAGATGGAATGCAGGGAGCTGAAGTATAGAACTGGAGTTGCTTTCATAATGTGGTTTTTCTGTGTCAGCTTGAAGCCTGGCAGAAATGGAAGCAGTTGTTGAATAAACAGAACTTCTGTCTTCTGAATGTGTCGTACTGAGATCCTGTGGATAGACTGCAGGATGTTTTGTATAAAGGCATGATTTTTAGCTCATAATTTGTTGTGTTTCTTGTTTCTGCCTTTATTAAAATTGTGTAATATGGGCTTTTGTCTGAAAATACAATACAGGATGTAAAGATCATGTTGAACATTCATATGGTTAGAACCTAACACATTATAAGCACTCCCCAAAACTACAAACTTTTGTTTCACCTGCCGGTGAGAGCACAGAAGCATTACCCCAATCAGGCTGTCCACTTGCCCAGTCTTGGTAGAACCTGCCCTGGATTCTTGGTGGGTTTCATTTGAAGCTTCATTACAGGAGGAACACAAAATCTGAATCCCTCAAGGGGGCTTTCACAGCACTTCTAATAGGGAACAATAGAAAGGTTCTGCTAGAAAGGATTATTCCAGTACACAGAGTCAGTATAGCACTTGAACATGTTAGGAAAAATACTTTTGGAACAAAATGGTTTTAAAATGCCTGACAGATGAAATTCACGGGGCTGTCATGCAGCTCATCTTCTCCTGCCTGATCCAGTCGCTTCTTTCTGTGTCTTTCAGACATAGCCCAGCTGAGGATGAAATTTGAAGAGGATAAGCAGAAAATTGCACTCATGCGAGCACAGCGAAAGTTCCGGCCATACTGAATCTCCAGATGTTCCCAAAAGAAGGGGAGCTACAGTGAGAAGTTCACAGGCAGAAAGGTTTTCATGGAGCTTCTGTGAAGCCAACCTGAATATCTGCTCATTCTCCATTGCTGCCTCCTGGACTGTGACTGATAAAGTGGGCAGCTCTAGAGTCCAACCATGAAATCATCTTTGCTCAAACTGTGTAATGCCTACAGATCACAAATGGGCAACCCTATGATAGCTCTGTGAACCTTGCTTCAGAGATATCCCTGACAAACTTGATGTCACCTAATAGTGTACCATGGTGATTTCTGATGGTGTTTAGCTGTGAGATAAAACAGCTATATGTTTAAAATTATAAATTAATGTTGCTGTGGGCTACAGAATATTCTTGTCTCCCCCTCTGTCTCTTTTCTGGTGTATCCGGCATTCTGGATCATTTGCAAGTCAGACTTGCAGGCAGTGTGCATAAGTGTAGTTGCTTCTCTAACTTCTATGAAGCCACCTAAAGCAGTTTATATACTACCCTGCTGACAGTTATGCTAAATGTTTTATGTAGTATAGTATGTTGTTGCTATGATATTCAATGAACAATGGTTTTTCTAGGATACATATTGCAATAGCACAGAAAGGGGGAATTGTAATCTTGACAATGATGGTTGAGGTCTTTGGAAAGGCAGCACGTACATTTTCTAGTTGCCCCCCTTCCTCCTCGAGTTGCCTGTGCTGCTGTTTTAAGCGTTCCAGGATGATTTGTCTCCCCCCCACCCCCGTGGAGAAAGTATGAGCCAGAAGGGGAGAGATGAGGCCTGCTTGTGGTATTCTGATTTCTTTGAGCAGTTCAGGATAATTGCAGCAGAAGATTTCATCTTTCTAAGATGGGGGTGGGTGGTGTACATGAGCACACATTAACCAGGTAAAATTATCAGCTGGGACAAAGAATGAATATTTTTGATTCTCTAATGTAAGATGTATCTACCACAAAATTTTGGACATGACTTAAAGGTGAGGAAGAGATGCCATCAGCCACTTGTATAAACCTTGTAGACACTCATGCTACAGGAGGGGAGAGAACAGACTGAGCATGATAGGCAAAGATGACCAACCAACTCTTTTGCTAAATGTTATCGCGGGAGACACGAAAGTTCTCTTGGTAGTGGAAGCCAAGTAGGGTTCTGTAGTGGAAAATAGAAGCTGACTCCCTCCCTCCTGCTTGCATCTTTTCATTTGACATTAAAACAAAATGGATGATATCCCTACAGTTTCTCATGGCTGAAGACATAGGCACTAAGCAACTGCTTAATTTTTTTTAAAAGAGTAAGAAAGCAATATTAAAAAACAGGCTGTTCTTGTGAATCCAAGAATATGATAAACCACCTCCTAAAGATATGGCAAACCATTTTTAACACTGCACTAGAAGCTAATACTCATTTTATTAAACAGCTGTTGTCTGTTTAGAACATTGGGGCTTTCAGACAGAAGTCACCTATTGTGCCAAAAAAGTACAAATAGCAGCAAGCTGTAACTCATGGGATCCTGTGGAGCATGTGTGCATTAATTAAACAAGAAGCTGGCTAAGATATTCACCAAAAACAGTATATGAGAGCCAGCAAAATTGTCACTTCTGCTTGAAGGCACATTCTTGGCAACAGTAGATGTGGCTACATATCCTTCACAACGTTTACAGACATCCAAGCTTCCTGCAGCTGTTTCCAGTGCAACTTGGTATCCCTCTGCCCCAAAGGAAGAGTCCTATAGGAAGTTCAGCTGCAATGTTGTTCCTTGCTCCAGAAGTAGGAAGGGATGGTTCTTCCTAAAAGAACCCATCCACTGGGCAGTCAGCGGGAAAGATGGAGATGCTGGCTACAGACTGGCTTTGAGACTCTCGCCTTTACTTAAGAAGTCACTGATGATCCCAGCTACAACTTCCGGCTCGTTCAGATGGACAAAGTGATTCCCAGGTACATCGACATAGTGGTAGCGCTAAGGGTGAGGGAGAATACAGTGAGAAATAGACACTGGAGGAAGTGGTGTCTGAAACATTCTAACAGAAGCTATTAAATAAAATACCAAGGGTGGCTGTAGAGAGAGACTGGGTAACTGATCTCACAGTGCAAGGTTAGAAGCCGTTCAGTGGGTTAAGGAATTCTGGACCAGATCTGTCTTCACAGAAGGGAGTAAACCCTAATGCTGTAATGCAGGACACTACAGAAATAAAGACTTGCATATTTTTGTCCTAACAGCCCGCCATTGGAATCTTGCTTTTTTCTCCCACTCCCCCGAGTAAAAATTAAAGCATTTTTCAGCAGGCTTAAAGGGTATAAATCTGCTTACCTAAAAACCGACAAAACCCTGTGTCAATACTATGTTCTGTGCAGTCACTCTTCTGGTACGTGTACAACCCTACTCTCAGCACTCTTCTCCCTCCCACCCCAGTATATTGCATAGCAAGATAAAGGTGGCTTCCTTACTCTAAAGGACCAGCATGAAAGAAAAGGCTGCAAATGTAGTCCAGTGGAAGCATGTCTCTGGCAAGGGCTAGCCAAGTGCACTCACCTCTTTTAGGAAGGTCCTGAATGCCTCTTGCAGGGGTTTCGCAACTGGCATATCCTTAGACTCACTGGAAAAAATCCCATCTTGTGCTCTAGAAAGAAATATCAACTTTCAAGCTATCTGGATGCCCTGATTATGCAAAGTATAAAAGGGGTTTGGCTGGAGCTCTCACTAGACTTGTGGGTAGCTTGCATTGTTCTTTTTTGCACAGTCAAGAACAAGCTAGTCATATGAACAGAAGCCTCTCCAGAGCAACTGTACTGTGCAGCCATTTAATATATGCCATATATGTTTCACTTAAAGGTACAGGTACCCCAGCTGTGCTCCTTAAAGATGTCCATATAGTCTTATTCTTCTGGCAGAACAGTGAGGCAGTGGCTTTTTTACCTAGAATTTTTGTGCGGGGGGGGGGGGGGGGGGGGACACACAAGAAAGAATGCCTTCTGGTTATATCTGTGTATCACTCACATGATCATCAGTACATCAGCCTGGATGTTTTTCAGGAAGATCACAGATTGGTCCAAAGTCACAAAACTGTGATTGTGCTACAAATGACAATACAGAGTCAGACACAGTAGGTTATACAGGTTTCTGCACACATGGAATTATCTGTGGAACTTGATAACTTGCCTGGATTTCTGCAAATTAACTTTGACTGTTGAATCCTCATAGTTACAGGAAAATGTTTGAAAACCTGTGCAGCAGTGTTCGCAAAAAGACATCAACACTTTCTGCCTCTTCTAGATTCAGTCACAGAGCCTGGCAACTAAACTTGCAGTATCTATGTAGATGGAGTTTTATATTGAGATCCATCCATTCTAGTCAAAAGGTTGTTTTTTACTCAGAACAGGCCTTTTTTGGTAGTTCACCACCACCGGCAAATGTGTGCCTATTCCCTTCTCTTTTTGTTTTTAGAAGACTGGTAAAGCGATAACACCAAGTGTTTTAAAAGTCAGGCAACTTAAGAAGTGTTGCCTGTGCTGACATTTTCTGTCTGAACTACTGTTTTTGCATTTTATCTTTTTGTGTACAGTTAAAGGAAGTCCTGCCCTTGGAAACAGACCTGGTATTGCTTCACAGCATACTTCCTGAAAGGGGTTCACTGGAGTCTCCATGTGGAGAGCAGCAACAGTGGACAGCACTCATGAGGACTGGAGGGAGGTTTTAGTGTTCCCAGCATCTCTCTTAAATGTTCCACCCCTAAAAGATGAACCAGGAACAATGGCCCAGCTGAAGCCATCTTTCTTGTACTCCTCTGTAAAGCCACCCTGAAGATCCATTCAAAGGCAGAGTATAAAACTTTAGAAAGTTTTTGGTTTAATGTGTTCTGTAAACTGCTTTGGGAATTCCTCAGGGCCAAATGACATGTTACATTTTGTTCGGTTTTGGCTTGGGAAAGGGGGGGGGAGAGACAGGAGTCCCTCCTTCCTCTGTGCCATAATCTTGAGCCTCTGCAGATGTTGAAAATGTCACTGTGGCTGCATGGAAAGCAAGTCAGGTCCGGGAAACTTGGACCCAATTCATTACAAAATGTAATGTGTAGTTCTGGCCCTCACAGTGTAATTATAATTTGTTGTGCTTAATTTTATTCATCTTTACAACTGTTTCTGTTGCATGCTGTAATTACAGCTTTATATGAGACTATTTTCATGTGCCGTATTGTTCAAAATATTCATATAGTATCTAACATTAAAATGAAGGTTCTAAGTAAATCATGGTTCTTTTGAATTCACCGAGAACCAGCCTGATTAGGCAAGTGTCCTCTAGAAGATAGGGAATACTGAGAGTAGATTGAGAGTTAGTTAAAAGGGAAATTAGCCTGCTTAAACCTCTGAGAATTTATAGAATCCTGCAAAGGGAGATTTGGGTGGTAGTGGATAATAATTTCCAATAATTCCTTCCTCCATTTTTCCTTGTGAGTCCCCAGCTTTTCCCCTCTAATACTGAATTTCATAATCAAATCAGTACAGCGGTAAAGTGGAGTCACCCAAAGACGAAGTTAAGTGCATGATCAGGGGGCTTTCCAACTATGCCAGAAAAACATACTTATTTATTTTTAATTGCCATCAACTTGTAGATGACTTATGGTGACTCCATAAGGCTTTCAAGGCAAGAGACATTCAGAAAGGGTTTGTCATTACCTGCCTCTGTGTAGTCACCCTGGGTTTTCTTGGTGGTCTCCCATTCAAATACTAAAGCCAGGCTGACCCTGCTTAGCTCTGAGTTCTGATGAGATTGGGCTAGCCTGAACTGTCCAGGTCAGGGCTTGACAGTGGGGGAAACACTACCCAAAATAAAGCACATGCTCTGTCCTCACAAGTGTGAATGTTGCATATCCCCTGGCCACTTCGGTATTTATGCAAAACTTGTATGATGCCAGAATGTACACACATTGCTAGGCATTGCCATCATTTTTTTCAAAGTAGTATTTAACATGCACATTATTTTGTAAGTAATTATTTCTTCTTCATAGTGGTTCGGTTGAAATACGTAGGAAAAATATTCACATATTTTTTCAAATTTATATGGCAGCAAATTTGACAGATGAGGAAGTGAGACAGAGTGCAAAATGCCTAAGAACTCACATCTGACCAGGAATTGGAGCCAAGGCCTCCCCTAATCCATGACAACATACCTTTTTTTTTTGCTGGATAATAAGGGAATAAAAATCAACTAGAGCAGAACTTACCAAAGTAATTCTTATATCTCTGTTATAGACCAGACCTAGGGGATAAGGGATGATGAGAATACTTTAGGCACTGAGGCTAGGACAAATGTTGCTTGGTTGATGCCTGAGGTCAACCATCTTTTATAAATCAAAAGTCAAACTACGTCAAACTTCAGAAGATCAGCAAAAGAGTCAGTCGAATAAAACCTATTTGCATAACTGAAAAGATACAATATAGCATTACATGGCAAGTAGTTATCCATAATAGGGATGGGCACGAATCAAATTATGAGCCTAAATTCATCACGGTTCGGTTCATCATTCACGAACCTCAGTTCATGCTATCCCACCCTCATGAGCCCCACCAACCTCCCAGGTGGGCTCATGTCAACAGACACACTGGCACTGGGGGCAGGGCTTGGAGAAGGCATTTAAAGATACCACGGTATCTTAATGTCTTGCAAGCCATGCCACCAAAGCAGCAGCATGAGTCACAAGTGAACTGAGAAGGCATTTAAATTTGCTTCTGTTTTAGCCTAACAGACTGAAATGGATGCAAGCCGTTTCAGCAATCCCTCCCTCCCCGCTTAGAAGTGGGGGGGAGAGCAAAAGAGACTGCTGAAATGGCTTGCAAAAGCCATTTAAAGGGAACTTTCCCTTTAAATAGCTCTTGCAAGATCTCCCCCCCTCCATTCTGCTGGCCTTGGGGAGGAAAGAAGGGAGGGAAAGATAAATGAACCTCACAAACCGAACTGGTTCATGAAACGGGGAGGTTTGTCCCAGTTCGTGGGACCTCACAAACCAGGACAAACCTCAGTTTTCCTGGTTCATGCCCATCTCTAATCCATAAGGTTTCTGCAGCCCAAACACTGGCTGTTAAAGTTGTTTATTAGAAAACGGCACCCACAAGATTTCATAATAAGTAACGAAATATATACAGAAGCACCCTGTGCAATTGTTTTAGTGCACTGGCATAAATCTGTGCATGCTTCACGCTAGGCTTATTACTGGAAACTGTTCATTTCTATCTTTTCCCTTTTACAGGCTATTTTAGCATCCTGCCTACCACTCCAATATACCTTAACTTACATATATTCTTTTTTAAAAGGTATATTTGGTTCCATTACGGAGCTACATTTGACTCTAAAGCCATAGGTTGTAGACCTTGGCTTTATGCAGAGTCAGACCATGGTTCCATTCTATGGCAGAAACTTTCTAATGACACCCAAACAGGAGGATATCTTAGCATATCTGAGCCTTGCTATCGATCTATTACACAGCGGTCAATTCACTATAGTAACACTTTACCTCCTGGCACTTCAGTTGTCCCCCGCTGCAGCAATATTTTTCCACTGTCTTCTGTTAGGTGTGGGTTTGCCTTTAATAGTCTAGGGAAATCAGGCAAGAACATGCAAAGGTTTGTCACTGCAGAAATAGATGGGAAAATGTCATTCTTGAAGACACCCCCATCTAAATGGTAATCCAGTTTTATACTTGGGGCTGGGTAAGGCTGCATTCAGACACTGCAGCAAACCTCTGCTTGCATATGCTCCCTTCTCTATTCTCCTTGTGTGTGGAGCATGACTGCAAACTTTGAATCAGAGTGCAGTTTGCCATGATGTGCAAATGTAGGCAGCTGGTCAAATGAAGTTTTGGTTCATCCCAGCAAGCCATGATTTAGTTCTGCTTTAGAATCAAACTCCAATTTGACCAGTGCGTGCATTTGAACTTGGCAACAAACTGAAGCTTAATTAAAGGCTTGTGAAATCAGGAATCTTTCAATCATACTTCATGCATGGGAGCAAGCCAGAGGTGGAGTGCAACAGCACAATAAATAAAACTGTAGTCGTCCCTGTCCCAAAGAGGTTTGTCACAACATCTGAATAAAACTCAACTCTTGCCCATCTTTTAAATCTTGATTTACTATAATCAGCCCAGCTACTTGATTTTAAATTTAAAACAAACCCCCTTTCAGCTTATCCTCTAGAGCACTTGTCTGTGGTGGTGGTGTTGGTGGTGGGAAACATACACACATTACTTCCAAGCAACTGGTCACTTACTTTACGGGTCCCTTTCAACCTCCTGTCTACCCCTAGTGATGCTGTTGCTGTTTTCTCAGGACGGAAAACACCATGCCACTGTGGTTGCTCTCTTGTCCAGAGCCAGCCTGCATGTAACAGGACACACCCTACCAGGCTCCTGTTCCACAAGGACAGGGGATGAGAGCTACTAACGTCAGAGTCCAAAAAGAGAACTCACCTCTGAAGTGCCTCTTGGGGGCTACGCACTTTAGTGGAATATTGGTTGTTTGCCTCAAAACTCAGCAGACCCTCAAACAGCTTCCGTTTGGGCTTCAGCAGCCTTTCATACTCCTGCAAATCAGAAACAGCCATCTTCCTTCTGTAACTCCTTACGACCAAAACTTCCCACAGAATACACAGAGACCACCACCAGCAGCTAGCCCCTTCTGAGGTTAAGAGTATATATTACCAAGACAGGGTAATGGTATGAAAGCATTAGGATGCAGAAGAAGAGCTGAAAATGGATCCACACCACTAAATGGACAGAACACCTCAAGCCTCACCTCTAATACTGATGAGGCATCTTTTGGGGTGAATGGGGAGCTTGGCTTCTTTTGTCTATTTAATCCTGGGCCCCTCTCATCACCCTGAGAACAAGACAGCCAATGAACAATCACAGGACCTGGCAGCGGTTTTTAATAAGAGGCACTTCTGTCTGGTTGGAAACTAAGAGCAGTTCAGATTTGAACTGCAAACATCAGTGAAGCACATTCCATTCTGACCAAGAAGAAGCAGCATCACAGAAAACAAAGCCATATTAAAAGAACAGTCTTTCTAACGGCAACATCTGTGAAACGCAAATGGGACTTCTGAGCTCATGTCCCACCAGGGGCATGTGCCATTTCAAACCATGGAAGAAAAGCTCATTTTCTGATATGTTTAGAAATTCAAGCTACATTAAAACCCAGGGTTGTCATATGAGCATTCAGGGTGTATCACATCCTAGGAAACAGCAAATGTGCTAGGTGGTGGAGCTGTTTCGCACCTGTTGTTAGGGGAGGGTCTGTGGTTCAGTGGTAGAGCCTCTGCTTTGCATGCAGCTAGTTGCAGGTTTAATCCATGGCATCTGTAGTTACAAGTATCAGGCAGTAGATGATGTGAAAGACCTCCACCTGAGACCTCAGAGAGCCACTGCAGTCAGAGTAGATAAGGCAGCTTCATGCATTTAATCACACAGTACTTTCTTCCAGACATATAACACAGGTATCACCAAGAACCCGCACTATCTTGGTGAATAGTGAACATTCTGTCTCACAGATGTGTGATTGTTTCCCTGCAACCCCATCCCTGCCTTGACCTATAGCTTATCATGCTTCCAAGAGCGTCGTACAAGTTGAGCGTCGTAAAAAGAAGAGAAAAGCATTTTAGCATCTGACCTTAGGTGCTGGGAAAAAGCCATACGATTCCACCAGGATCAGCTTGTCCACCATCTCAGGGAATATACATGAGAACTAGGAAGACCCAAGAAGAGAACAGTAGTTTAGTTCCTTTATCCCAGGCACGAATGTTACTTGTAACATTTTTGTCTTCAGGCATTTCTTATTTCCTTGTGTTCTTCTGACTACCACAGAGCGAACTAGATTCTTCTGCCTGTCACCTAAGATCCTCATTCCGTGCCCCGCTCTGTTATGTACCCACCCACAGAAATGAGGCAAGGCTTTTTCAGTGGTTGGGCTTCATTTATGGAATGCTTTCCTGCAAAGGTTCACCTCCCCCCCACCCCCACTCCGCGGCTTTTCAGACGTCGGGGTCAAGGCATTTTTATTGACCCAGGCTTTTGTCTTGAGTTATTTCATGATCAACTTTTCATTGTTTTATTATCTGAACATTTTAACATATTAGCATCTGTTTTATAGCCTCTATATCATTTTATATTGTTTTATTTAACTAGCCTGTTTCACAAATTTCATGATGATTTTGTTTTTTGCTTTTTCCTGCTGTTGAGCTGACACTCTATCCATTCTTGTGGGTTCTGATCACCTTGATTTATTGTTACTAGTTGGGGGATATTTTTACTGCTGTTCGGTTGGCATAAAATGCTGATGTGTTAATTTATGGTTTTATTTGTTTTGCCATTGCTAAGAGTCAACTTGGGCAGCTTCATTCTTGAGAGCTGACAAAGAAGTTAACTAAATAACAAACAGTTTAATGAAGGAAAACCAGTTTACCTTTAAAAAAAAATTACTCACCATTCCTGCCACAGTTCCACCTGTATGAGAGAACAGGGAGTGTGGTTTCAATGTACAATATGAAGCCAATACCAAGGAAAAAGTTCTTATCGGTAACCCTCCCCAAGAAAAGAAGCAGGCTAGTAAATCAGAGAACTGGGCTAGGTTATATGACTTAAGTCAGCAAATAAGAGAGACATTTTACAGCTCATAAAAATACTGTTACAAGTTCTAAAAGTTTGGCCTAGAAGTTAATAATTTGCTAACTTTCAAGGGAAAAAAAAACCTGCTCTGGGAATAAAAGCCACTTACCTAGACTATGGCCCATGAGGGTAAATCGATTCCACTTCAATGCTAAAAAAAAGAAAAAAAAGAAACAAGATTCTGGAGAAACCAGATCGTCAGATTCTTACATGCTGCATGGAGGCAGGATTATTTAAAGACAGATTAGCCCATATTATCTAGACTGTAGTGTTACAAGCAGAGAATACCTTTGTGTTACTGGAGACAAACCCTTTAATATGGAATGTCTAATTGTGTCCTCTGAAAGACATGATCCTGGCAAAGTGCTGATGAGAAGGAAATGGTTGGTTAGAAAAAGGGACTTTGGAAAGGATGTACTGATTGAATTCCCCGAGTTTTAGCCAAAAATTGGCACTTGAAGTAGTTACAATTATTGAAGCCAATACAGAAGATGTTTAATAAGGTTTGCATCCAAGAACAATGGAAGTGAGCAGCTGCTGCTCCTTCCTCTGTCTGGCCTTGCTGATGGCAGCCGGTAACCATCTGAGATACTATTTTAAGTTTAACATTCCTTTGCAAATTAGCAATGTCATATCCATGTCATATCAAAAGTTAATATTTATTCACTGTATTTTGATCCTGTTTCTCAGCCAAAAATTGTCTTCCCTCAGTGCCTTGTGGCAATTTAAGACCAGCACAGGTAGCAACTAAAATATAATTTCAAAAGGAGCACATAGTCTTTGAGGTCTGGGTCCCAGCAAACTGGAAGGGTCCCTGGCTGCTTCCTGCAGTTGGTAGCCACCTGAGATATTGTTCTAATTTTACTCTTCTTTGCAAATTACCATATCTGTTACTGGACTTGTGGCAAAAGTTAATAGTAAAACGTATTTAGCAGAAAATACTTCCTCGAATTGCAGCAGAGAGACTGTGGTTTTAAAACTCTTGTTTGGGGTGTACCAGGTATTAGATTACCCAGCCAGGCCTACAGTCTTAACTATTTATTTACTTACTTCATTTATACCCTGCCTTTCTCCCCAGTGGGGGGAGGGGACCCAAAATAGTTTACATCATTCTCATTTCCATGTTAGCCTCACAACAACGCTGCGAGATAGCTTGGGGATCTGAACCCAGAGTCCTCCAGATCCTAGTCTGACACTCCAACCACTACACCATAATGTAATATCTGAAGGACTCTCTCTTCCCACACAGTTCAGCACTAGTTAAGAGAATGTGAGGCCCTTCTCCAAGCCTGCCCACCTTCAGAAATGAGACAGTTGGTAGCACTCACATTCAGAGTATTCTGCCTAGCCATATTTGACTGACACCACCACCACTGTTAACATTTAGTCTCCAGGCAAAATCTGTGTTGTTCTCTTGTGATTTTAATGTCATTTAATATTTTTCACCTGGTTTTAGCTGCTGTTTTTAATCATACTTCATGGTGTTTTACTTTGTTGCTGCTATTTTTAAATTTCTTGACCATATTGCTTAGATTGGTTTCCGCACGCACACACACACATATATATAAAAATGCAGTGGTTTACAGTTTGTTTCAAAGAGCAACTGTTTTAACCCAAGGAAAACCCTTCCAGCTGCTTTATGTAGTTCATTATGGCTTCAGGAGTGTTCTTTCAAAAACAAAATTATCAGTCTGATATAAAACCAGCCCTAAGTTCCAGTTATCACTAAGAACTTCAATTTTTCAAATAAAGTGCTATTAACACCAACAAATATATTAGGAGGCATCTCTTTATGGACAGACTCTTTGGAAGGTTTGGGGGAAACTAGTCATAAATTATCGCACAATTAAGTGACTGCAGTAATGAAAAACTAAAACCTCCATTATTTCATTATTTTCAGATCAGATGTATTTTAGTTATATTGTGACAAAATATTAGCAAACCCAGTCTGAATTAACTTTTGGGAACAATGATTTTAAAAGCTGAATAAATATGTTCCATGCTGATGATGACAGACAGACAACCTTTATTGGCATGTAAGAGATAAGATTACATTAAAATTTAGGAATACATCAAAAGTATGGCTGTCGAACAGCCAACAAAATAAGAACTGATCAATTAATAGTTTCCCTGGTTCGAATTGCAGATTGAAGAAAACAAGCAACATTAAAAGTTATAAAAGCGTTTTGCCCAGAGAGTAGCAACTGGACCTTGACACACTCTCAGGAAGAGCATGCCATGTAAAAAGAAGGGTGTCCAGAAATTTTTCTCGAACCTTAGTATAAAATGGACAATTTAAAAGAACATGGGAAACGGATTTGATAGCACCCTGACTGCAGGGGCATTGCCTACATTCACGGGGGATTTTTTTGCGATGATGATGGATTTAAGAAAAAAGAACAAAGATTTAAGTTATGTATCTTTTCACATGACACATGATGCTGGATGAGAGCTAATAACACCAAAACTCAGTTCTGATAGAAGGATTGTTGGTAGGCAGTTCAAGGAGGCAGTATGCAACCTGTTCAGGAAGGGGCTGTGCTCCCCTTTGAGGAGCAGATGTGCAGTGTCAGCTTGCTGTTAGAGCCATCTCTTAAGCTGTATGCTCAGTGGCGTCTGTGGCTCAAGGGGTCTTTCAGCTGCTTTGCCTACCCCCTGGATAGCCTTGTCACTGTTATCCATGCTCTGGTAACACACGAGAGATTACTGTAATGAATTCTGCACAGGGAGTCTTTGTTTGGAATCTTCATCTGGTTCAGAATACAGCTGCTATACTGCTGACTGAAACAAACCAGTCTGAAGATATTTTGCTTTCTGCTAGAGAATCTGCCACTGGATCCCAGTTTGTTCCCAAAAAATATTCAAGGTGCTGATTTGGGCTATAAATCTCCAAACAATTGGGAATGAGCTCCCTAGAGGATTGCCTTCTACTGGAGGAATCTTCCCAGTTTTCCAGATCTGCTTAGGGGCCAAATGCAGCAGTCTCCATTTTCACAGGTGATGTGTGGTGACTGGGCAAAGGGCCTTCTCTGTGGTAGTACCCCATTTATGGAATATCTACCCAGTATATCTGTGAGGTCTCAATATACTATCATTCAGCTGTTTTGGTTTTTATAAAGTTTTCAATTTCAATTAGATTTTTATTTGAAATAGTTTTCAAGTTTTTCCTTCGTAGTAGGAATAAAACTATTTTAAATAAATCACTCTGGCTATAATTCATCTGGAACTGTGAGACAACCTGCTTGTCTGTGCATTGGAGCAAGATGGGTACAGAGCACTGAGATGCTGAAACGTGTTTATTTATGTATTTATTTTATTCGACTTATATCCTGCCCTCCCCGCATGGCAGGCTCAGGGCGGGTCACATCAAATTTGATAAAAAATACAATATACACAATACAATTAAAACACTAGTAAAATACCACAATGGCCTTCATCTGGTGCCACTGTCATTGACATTAAAACCTCACAGATGCCAACTCTAGTATGCAGTTCTGACCCATTGAAGGGAGAACCAGTAAAGAGGGAGGGACGTCCGTCACCCTAGTTAAAAGCCTGGCAGAAGAGCTCCATCTTGCAGGCCCTGCAGAACTGTAAAAGGTCCCGCAGGGCCCTGATCTCGTATGGGAGCTAATTCCACCAAGTAGGGGCCAGGGCTGAAAAGGCCCTGGCCCTAGTGGAGGCAGATGCCCCTAGGGCCAGGGACCACGAGAAGATATAGATTGGCAGATCGTAAAGCCGTTTGGGGGTCATAAAGGGAGAGTCGGTCTCGCACACATGCAGGCCTCTGGCCGTACAGGGCTTTAAAGGTAAGCACCAACACCTTGAAACAGATCCAGTACTCAATAGGCAGCTAGTGTAGTTCGCACAGCAACGGGTGGATGTGGGCCCGCACAGGCAGCGACATCAGTACCCATGCTGCTGCATTCTGCACCAGCTGCCGTTTCCGGAGCAGAATCAAGGGCACCCCATGTAGAGAGAATTATAATCATCTAATCTGGAAGTGACCATTGCATGGGTCACTGTAGCCAGATCCTGGGGAATGAGATATGGGGCCAACTGCCTGATCTGTCTCAGATGGAAGAAGGCAGACATTGCAGTGGCGGTGACCTGGGCCTCCATAGTTAGTGAGGCATCCAGGAATACCCCCAGGCTCTTTACCTCCGGCACCGGCACCAATAAGGTCCCGTCAAAGGTTGGAAGCCCGATCCCCGATCCCAATCCCCCGCGACCCAGGTATAGGTCCTCTGTCTTCGATGGATTCAATTTCAGTCTGCTCTGTTGTAACCAACCAGCCACGGCTTGTAATGCCGTCCACTTGCTATGTGCTACAGACAATTCCACCATGCTCACCTTCGACTACCCTGTGTACATCTCCCACGTAGTCCATGAAGTGATATGGAAACCCAGGTGGTCGGTGGGATGACAGCCCATGTCCCCCAAAGTCTACTGCCATGTAATAGCAGTCTGAAAGAGAAGAAGCAGAAGAGGACCAAGTCACATGCCAGTCCTCACTCCAATATAAAAGAGAATAGCCCTTATATAATGTAAATGCACCTTTAGGGAGCAAAGGAAGGAGCCTGCTGAAAGTGTTTGCATTGTCCAGCCAGCCGTGTAAGCAGAGCACAGGTCGGCCCTGTGGTGGTCCCCATGCCTTGGCTGCAATATGACCCCAGGGAACCAAGAACTTCAACTCCGAGATCATGCCTAAAAGAGAAAAAGCAGCAAATCACAACAGCCACCACACCAGGAAGTACAGCGTGCTGGTAATTATACAGTACCAAAAAGGGCAGTTTGCAATTGTTATGGCAAGAAGGGGAAAATGGTGCCTTTCCTTACTGGGAAGCTCCCTTAGACCAAGTGTTTCCTGGAAATTACCCTGGCAACCAGTTGCCACCACTCAGTATCTCCTGCAAACATCTAGATTGACCTGCTGAGAAGGCACTCTTCCAGCACAGTACTAGAGCAATAACAAAATACCTTACAACCAACCTAGTAGCACCTGTGCAGTCTAGCATGTGTGGAAGAGATTAAGAGACATATCCTAGAGAAATAAATTGTATAAAGCTTTTGCAAGACCTGAGTGAAACTCAGTTTGCAAGACCTGAGCAAGGCTGTTAAGGATAAAACATTTTGGAGGTAATTAATTCATAGGGTTGCCGTATGTCCAAAGTGACTTGACAGCACTACACACACACAAGGAGGGCAGCTTCTAAGTGGCACAGAATGATACTGCATAATCAGAAACCATCGCTCTGGTCATGTCAAGGAAACCAACTGGACTCAAAAGTAATCCAATAAAGCAAATCTTGCCGCCCTCCTTCAAGTCACTAGCACAGATGCATCTGGCACTGGAGTCCATTTCAGCAGAGGTCACATTCATTTGTCTCGTCTTCTTCTGGATCTTTAGGAGGACAAAAGGGAGCAATGAGAAGTTATGTGACTTTTATCTTTCCCCTCCAGTAACCGTTGCTTTGTAACTCTGTTCCTCCACTCAAATAGTGTTACTGGACAAAACCTATTCCACTGAGCTGCTTTCACACAGCAAATACATGTGGAAAGGAGCAACTGCAGAGGTTAGATAAATCAAAAAGAAAGAATTCTAGAGCTGGGCCTGTTGTTGATTCCTATCATGGCAAATTCCAGAGCAGTAGCTGCTTTTGCAGGAAAAACCGCCCATTTTTTTTGGGAAACCTTAAAGGCAATGGATTAATTGTGGTGCAGGCTTTTGGAGGCCACCTCAGTCATTGCAGAAATATATATAATAGATGTTGGCTAAAAGAGATGTACATTAACAGTGGGGCCAAAGCCAATGAAATGCAAGAGGAGCAGTTTGTAAGGTTTTTCTACACCTTGAATAAAACTCAGTGGTGCCACTAGATTCAAACTTTGTTCAATTGTTAATGGTAACTGTTCTTATATACAGCAGCAGTAATAGGTATTAACACAACCTTGCTTACATGTGCCAAGCGAACTTTAACACCTGTAGTGTGGCAGGAATTTACTGTGTGTACTGAGTCTTAATTTATTGCATCTTAGTGCCTAGCTTGTTAACAAATTCTGTTCCAGTTTAATGCTGGGGTCTCCCTTTGGAGTTCTTTTTGTTAAAGGAGGGTGACTTTCAGGTCAGCTGCAGATGATCCCGGTGGAGTGAAATGATCTTCCATGGGTTTCCAAATGTGGCTGTTTTTTTATATCAGGTACATGTCCATTTATTCTTTTCGCAGAGTTATATGTGAACAGCGTGGTTGGCAGCTGATTGCATACATCACACTGGAGGATGATCATGTAAAAGTAGCCCCTCAGCTGATGGTGAATCCTGTAATAAGTTGCAGAATGGATACATGGGTATCTGAGTTTGCTGCAGGATTTGGGTCCCACTGAGCTGAGTGTCTTGTTTTAGTAATCCAGAGCTGAGACACTGCAATAAACCATAACATGAACTCTGTTTCCATTCTTGCTGAAGCCGCTTTGAGCCAGCCCCGTAGCTAAGGACTTTTTAGGGAGGGGGCCTGGAGGGGCCCGCCTGCTAATCCAATCAAAGGCTCCAGGGCAAGGGCTGCAGTGGTCGGAGCTTCCCTCCCTCTCCTCCCACAAGGGCAAGCCTTCCCTGTGAAGCGTCCGGGTCCAGCTCCCTCCCTCCCCAAGGAGCCCCAGTGCCTCTTCACTGCACCAGGGGCAGCCTCTGAAATCACTGCCCTTGTCCTCCCTTGCCAATAGGCTGACAGGCAATCAGGGGGAGTTGGGGTAGGGAAGCCGAGGCTCAGGAAGGGGCCCCATAAAAACTTCTAGGGGGCTGGTCCTGTGGGCCCTGTGTTAGCTACGGGCCTGCTTTGAGCTTGAAGAGCTCTACACTCTGCAGAGCAACATCTGCTGGTGGTCCCTAGCCCAAAGGACATCCACTTAGCCTCAACCAGAGCCAGAGCCTTTCCGGTTCTTTTCCCAGCCTGGTGGCACACTCTCCCAAGTGAGATCAGGGCCTTACAGGACTTATCACAGTTCTTCAGGGCCTGCAAAACAGAGATGTTCCACCAGGCCCATGGTTGAGGTGGTGGGTGTCTAGACATCAGCCTCCCCTGCTCCGCCTAGTATCATCTACTTGCTGGTTGCAGTTGGCCCACTTGCTCAGGCCTTGGATTAAATTGAGCACCCATACAGATACTCAACTCAGGGATTTATGAATTGTGTTCAATCGCCATCTCGTCACTGGAGGTTTTATTAACTTATGTTTTAATGGTTTAAATTACTGCATAATAATTGTTTTAATTACTGTTGCAATCCACTCCTGAGCCCTGCTGTGCAGGGGAGGGTATACTAGCAATCCAGTTAAATAAATAAAAATAAAAAAATTAAGCAAAATGGGGGCGGCACGCTAAGTGCGACTATGCTTGGACTCCTCGCCACCGAACTGACGTTAAAGCACAAACCGCCATTACTGTTTGTAGGCTCAAATCGGAGAAGGTTTAAAAAAGGGCCAACCTCTTTCTAACAGCCAGGCTCCTGCCCAGCTTTAATTTTTTGCTTAACATTAACAGAGAACGGAGGAGAGGAAACTTAATAACCAGGAGATTCAATTATCTGGAATAGAAGGCACACAAACAGTCTGAAAACTCGAAGGTTCCCCGGCTGACAGCCCGCGCTATGCACGCTGACTCGGACGTCCCACTACCGGTACGTGTGCACAAGACCGTGGCCTTGAAGCGCGAGACGCCAAACCTACTGTAGCTACTGCAAGGACCGGTCCGCCACTCGCACCCCCCGGCCTCCGAACTCACGCCTCCAGCCAGTTTACAGGGACGCAATTTCCTTTTTCCATCAGCAATCGCCGGAAGCCTGGAAACCCCGCTACCCCTTGAGCCGGGAAAGCGTTTGCAACTCTTAAAGGGAACCAGCAGCAGCTCACCCACCTTGGAACGCGGCACAACGCGGTTAAACGTCAGGAAGTCCAAGGGGGACGAGGAGTGTTAATCGTAATGCTCGACCTTCATCATGTGATGCAGAGGCATGGAAAGGCATTGGCTTTAAGAAATAATACGGCAAAGGACAACACGGGACGGTGAAATTACCATTCACCGTTTGTATGTGTAAAGTCCTGTGTAATCTTTATGGCGCCTGTCCTTACAGCTACTTCCCTGTGTGACGTAGCTCATTACTATACTGTTCCATATTTTCCCCCGTACCTTTTCTCATTTGCTTTTCGTCGTCTTTTGCTCTCCCCCCTGCAATAATTCTACAGTTGTGCAAATTTTGAGTCCAGGCACCTTTAAGATCAACAAAAGTTTAGTTAAGGTATGAGCTTCCGTGTGCACGCCAATTTCCTTAGATACATTGAAATAGGAGTTAACAGTTCATCTATAAAGGCAGATACCTCTACATAGGTGAACAGCAAATTGGCATATAACTTAATGAAGATGTTTTGACATGCAAAGACTAAACAACAGTAACAAGCTAAGTTGATAGGGTCAACCATTTTTTGGATTTAATTTGGGGGGAACAGTGAAGTAATAAATATGTCATAATAGGAGACAGATGTGTAAATGTAACCCATGCAGTTTTGTAGCTGTTAACAGCATACAAGGATCAGGCACGCCTGCTTTTGCCAATAGGTGGTGTGGCAATCAACTCCCTTTATGAGCATGCTCAGTGTTTGTAGCCTTCCCTAAAGGAGGCTGGGTATTCCCAGTAGCCAGCAGTTCAGCCTGGCCCAGAAAGAGGCAACATCTTGGGGAGAGGCCTATATAGACTTGGTTGTGTTAAGGCCTGCCTTGAATTATTGCAGGTAAATGCTGTTAACCAATGTAATTATTAGAGATCCTTTCAAACAAAGGTGAAGTTACTTCTTGGGAAGTTATTAAATGTTGGTTTGGGACTATTAAGATACTTAATAGTAATTTCATATGCTTGTGAAAATATGTAATTTTATAGTTATTGATCCTTTTAAATATCTTCCTTAGTATTCTGTTTGTTAAAGCAGCCAGCAGTTCAGCCTGGCCCAGAAAGAGGCAACATCTTGGGGAGAGGCCTATATAGACTTGGTTGTGTTAAGGCCTGCCTTGAATTATTGCAGGTAAATCCTGGAGTCAACTGAGAAGAGCTGCAGCATCCCAAGTACAGCCTGGAAACCTCATATGCTGTTCCAGTATCTGTGAGCTTACAACATATGGACTTACAATATATGTATTATTTATGTGCTTAGTAATTTTTCTGTTCTGTGCATCTTTGTGGATGCTGAAGATATCTGTACTTAGTAATATCCTGAAGATTAATTGCTATGAAGTAATAGCAACTAACCAAAAGTGAATGAGGATTTATATGAAAATCTCCATGCTTTGTTTATATAAAGAGTTTATTTTAAATGTTAAAGTGCATTGGTTGTATTGCCTTTTTTATGCCTGTGTTTAAGTACATGTGTAGTAACAGCAGTTACATATTGTTAATAACCATAGGTGGGAGTTCCGCTGTCAATACCGACTGAACCTGCCCACTCTCCCTACAGATATTAGGACCTTAGTGGGTTACATAAACGTATCCTAAGAGTAATAAACTGTGACTGTTGTTATGCTCCATTTGTATCATTTCAAGCATGGAGTTAACAACATCCTTTTCTTAGTCACAGTTTTTAGTCACTGCTTCAGACCAGCATAGCTGCCCACCTGGATCTGTCTACAGTTATGCATGTATTGTAAGTTGTCCTGTCTTGTTTCTCAAGAGAGATATCTCTCATTACGATTTAATAGTACCTTCCCACTATTCAAACTGTAGTCCTTTTGTTATGTATTGGGACTGAACCATTCCAGGTATGTCACACCAGAGACTGGCTGAGCTTGGAGCACAAGAACAATAGCCTACCAGGACTCTGGAAATAACCAATCAAGTAGTAATGTTATATAAATAGCCTATCATTGGGAGTGGGGTGTGTTTGGGTGTGGCAATTGCATGTTATTTGACAGAGCTGCAGCTCTGGGGTCTTGTCTTGCTCTTGACAAAGTTGAGCTGATCACTAGACGCGAGCCTGCTCATCTGTGGAACCCACTATTTAACACCTTTTTAGTAGGAAAACATTTTCCCTCTGCCCTTTCATCTACATCAGTAATTGCCATAGTGAGTGTTGTGTGGAATGAGAGAATCCAAACAAGAGAGGCTGTGGGCAGCACCTGCCTTGCCATACCATTTTGTGACTTTTTAGATTTGTATAAAATGCTTTTTAGAAGTTGCTCATTCCCCTGATGTGATCTTAAAAGGACCCTCCTGTAGCTCTTTCAAAAAGTCCAGTAGCAGCAAAACTGTCCTTTCTCCCCACCCCACACTGTCCCCACATTTTGTGAACTTTTGCAAACACTCTTTTTTAAAGTCTTGACGCTAATTAGCCTTTCCTGGCAATGCCCTCCCCACCCACTTCCTATATGTAATGGCTGGTGACTTCTGTTTCAATGTATATGAAGAAGTGTGCGTGCACACGAAAGCTGGTACCCAGAATAAAACGTTGTTAGTCTTAAGGGTGCCACTGGACTCAAACTTTGTTCTGTTATCTATTTATCAGGTTCTCTGAATACTCAGACTTCACTTTTTAAAAGGAAAGTCTCTAGTTTCTTTCATTTTGGAGATTTACCTTTCCCCTTATATCTCCACAATGAAAGAGTCTACAGAACCTAAGACACAAACTGTTAAATCATTATAACAATACAATGATATTCAATTGCTGATTAAAAACGTCTGAAAAGACCTGGTGGTAAGGTGGGGGTTGCCACTTCCAGGTGACTGGGGCAGGGAAATCTGCCATGTGGCAGCCCTGCTGCCACTGTGCTGCATCAGCAGCTGCTACAGCAATGGGGAAGCCACCCAACCCTGTTCCTGTGTGGAAAATGCCAAAGTATTCAAAGGTATGCTGTGATTCTCCTGATTTTTCTAGTCTGGTACCATCAACGACCATGCTGTTCTGGATTGCATAGCTTGCCTGTGATGACAGAGAAATGCACAAAGTACAAAGGATTTAATTACCCAAAGGAAATAAGCAGGACATCAGAAATAAGATCTACACATCTGCAAAATCAATATATGAATTTGAGCTAGTCAGTATCTTGAATCCTAATCTATGTTTCCGGGTTGTTGTGTCCAAAAAAAAGCAAGCTCACTCTGCTTCCTGAAAGGAGGGGATGTGATCTGTCTGTCTCTATAAGGGGCTGTTGCAAACAGTCTGTCCTAAGTCCGATGCTCGAGTAGGCTACTAGTTTGGACTGGGGTCACCTGGATTCCCACTCAGCTATCAGCCATGCTGGGTGACTCTGGGCCAGTCACTTTCTCAACTTAGTCTACTTCATAGGGTTATCATGAGGATGAAATGGTAGGGAGAACCATGTATGCTGCCTGAACTTCTGAGACAGAGGATGGGGCTCTGTAATGCAGGGTGGGTTTGATTCTCAGTTTGAAATTGCCAGAACCAGAAAGTAGGCTTGCCTTTCGCACAGTGCTGTGCCCAAGAGCATCCATTTAATTTGTCGCATCTAAGTGAATTGCTTCCATTCACTGTTCTGGGGAAAATACAGCAATACAGTTTGAAACACTGTGGAAGTAAAGACAAAATCTCTCCTCCACCCTGGATATTGGGTGGCCCAGCCCCAGTGGAGATTCTGTAATGTGCATGTGCATGCACTGTGTTTAAGGTTCACAAAGACCGATATCCTGTAACCTCTCCATTTCTTTATATACAGTGTGTGTGTGTGTGTGTGAGTGAGAGAGAAAGAGAGAACATTTGCTTAATAATAAAATGATTGAAGCTACCAGCCCCTTGTGGCTACTATGAGTAACTTCTACGTGACAAACACAGGATGGGTGCTGTGTCAGATCTTAATTATGAAGTAGAATTGAACAGCAGAGATTCCCATCAGACTTTGCAGTCTCCAGTAATAGAGTAATAGGCTCCATTTTCTTACTAGCAGCAAAAGCCATGCAACCATTCAAATATTTTACTGAATGGGTGCTGTCACCTTTCTTTCCGTGCTTTTATCAGTGGTCACGAACTGGAATTCAGCAGATCCAATCCATCTTCTGTGTGCCAGAAAAAGATCCATCTGTTGAATTCTAGCCTATCACACAGTTGTTAAGTGCAGAGGAGCCCTGCTGGGAGGGAAACCTACTTTGAATACAACTGTCGTTTCCCATGTTCTTATCCCATTAATAAAGTAAACACTTTCCCCACAACTTTAGAGAGCAACATAAGAAGAGCTGTGCCGGGTCAGTCCAAAGACCCCTCAGTTACAGTATTCTGTTCTCACAGTGGCTGGCCAGCTGCCTCTAGTAAGTCCAGAAGCAGGGTGACTGCAACAGCATCCTGCCACCCGTGCTCCCCAGGGACTGATATGTGGTGGCTGTTTCAAGGTGTGAAGCAACTACCAGCCACAAGCCTCCACCAGGAAAGTGCCTTGCCCACTTTCCTGAAACATGGGGCGGGTGCCACATCAGGGAATGGTGCTGAGAAGAGCCACAGGTGGCATGTTGAAGAGACACATGTGGCTTCCGAGCTACTGAATATCACCATTTTAGGGTAAAACTCTAAATAGCACACACCTCTCAGTTCAAAATAATCCTAACAAAGGAGTATTCCTGTACAAGCTGGATGATCTAAGCATCACATCATTGCCAGAGAATCAATGTGCATTGAAGAGAAAAGGCTTAGAAAAGTGAATGTGGTAATGTATTTAACAAACAGAGCACAGTATTAAGTACCAAGAGGAAGTGAGGTGTATCTCTCAGAGAGTATTTGTGTGGGAATTTTAATTTCCTAAGTGTATTACCTCATTTCGACCCTGAGGGAGAGGCTTAGTGCATGTGCCGTGCATGACTGCGGTTGGGGGTTCAGTTCCTAACATTTCCAGTTAAAAGATCACAAATATCAAGGCTGGGACAGACCTCTGCTGGAAACTTTAGAGAGCTGCTACCAATCAGAATAGAGATAAATAAGCCAGATGGACCAGGGTCTGACTTAGTATAAATCAGCTTCATACATTCATACATTTTAACAGTGTCTTTCATTTACATAATTATTCTTCCATGATTTTGTTCATATTATGATAATGGGATATGGTTTAATTTTTCACGATATATCAGCACCCAACAGC